CTGCTACAGTCGCGAACATGTCAAGATACTTAGGGTCTGCTCAGCGCAACCCATTTCTTTTTCCTTTTTGCAGGCGACAAAACTGAATAATGTTGTTCGCGTCGGCTGTTTACCACCATTTAGTGTCACTCACCTGCTTCAACATATTCTCGTCATCCGGGCAGTTGATTAGGGCGGTCGTCAACGGGCCGCAGCGCGTGCCAGGAACTATTTGCTTTTCCAGGCTAATTTAGTCATTTTTTCCACCTTGTGAAGATAAGGAGCTGCTAATCTGGGAAAAAGTAGCCAAAACAGTGAAAAGTTGGAAAAAATGACTAAATTAGCCTGGAAAAAGCAAATAGTTCCTGGCACGCGCTGCGGCCCGTTGACGACCGCCCTAATCAACTGCCCGGATGACGAGGGTATGGAGAGCGGAGCGTTCTTACCTCCAATTTTGAATCGATTGATATTAAAGGCAGTTGGCACGATAAATCGCTATACAGGTGTAGGATTTGTACAACTGGCTTAACAGAATTCCGTGACCTCGGACAGGCGCTGCGTGAAGCCTTTTCCAAGGAGGGTACCCCTATAACGCCCTATTGAGCAACAACTTTACGTCCCAAACGCCTTCCTTGCCCGCCCGCCCACAAACGGACGACCGTTTCTGACGCTCGTATTCATTCATTTGCTAAGCAAATTATGAAGCAAAGGGATTGGTATGAAGCGGCCGTGATGCTGCATGCATATATGGGTACACATATGCAGCCGTATCTTCGGTAGCGGTGATTGGCAAGATGCGTACGGGAAACTCGTCCGAAATCGATTTACAAGTCACTGAGAACGGAGGCTTTTTCTTCGCCGGATTTTGACCGTTTCACTCCGTTCTTTCGCCATTTCCCATTGATTCCTAGTATTATTTTGGTTTTCCATATTTAGGTGTCATTTTTGGGAGATGACTGGAAAGAATATCTTGCAAAGGAGGTATGTTAAGATGATCACAACTCTTGTTGTCGAGTAATTAAGGGCAGTTATTCAGCTTGGAGAGCAAAACATTTATCGACACTGGGGTGGAAGGAAACCATCTGATCTTCCCACGGGAGACATTCGAATGGGAGGAAAGGTTCCCGAGAAATTCCAGTGAGTTTCTTCATCCGTAAGTTCCTTATCCATGACTGGACCCGCAACGTCATTAGTGTCAGCGTTTTTGGAATGAGGTTCTATGCGAAACATAGAGTGCTCCAGCGATGTCGTTATCACTGAGGCTGCGTTTATACCTTACGAGGATGTCGACGTAAGCGATGTAACTGACGAATGACCGACGGGGCGACGGTAAACGGCGAAATCGCACTTCAGCATCCGGCCTTTGTGAGCGGCGGTCGCGGCGCGGTTTCGGCACTAGGGCATCATGGTCACTATCGTCACCAGCGAGTAACATCTTAAGTTGACTACTATGAACTCAACATGGGAATATCACCACACTATACTCACAAAAGCATCGAATCTTGTATAATAATGTTGATGATGTGGCGTTTCCCACAAAATTTCCGTTGAATTATAGGTAAAGTCCTGTAAGGAGCGCCTTCTCATCATGTTTAGGCACCTCGCCCATCAAAGTGGGGACATTTCCTCTAAAGTCTACCTGCTTCCTTAACTTAAAGCAATCTGCGCTCGAAACGGCTTCTTCAAGATCTGCAGGGAGCAGTTGGAAACAGCCTCTGTACACTTCATCATTGTCGCAGCAATTCAAGCAATTTGGCACGTTCATTTTGCGGGTCCTGCAGTTACATGCCACGTTAGAGTGTAACATTTTGTCGGTGATATATACAGTGCGCGGTTTCAGCAATCGCGAAGCCATGCCGGCACATTTATAAGCAACGCTTCTGACAAAGTACTCTAGCTGGGGAAACGGTTGCAGGAGGTGTACACTTTGATTTATGCCTTCAACTTTCAACGGGGGTTGGTTCAGAAATTTCCGAAGACTCAGTGGAGCCGTTCTGGTGAAGCATTTTGGCCAGCTTTCGGATTTGACCCCATCAAGCTGGTTGAGTATGGCGAGACTTTCTACATTCCTTACAGTGACTGACATCTGAAAAGTGATTACACACACTGGAGATCAAAAGGGTTCACTTCGCTCTTGAATGGGTGATTTTTCCTAATTAAGTGTACATATAATAGCCAACATTGTGCAAGCATCATCGAATTGGAACATCTAATTGCTTCCTCTAAAATTCGTCAGGTGCGCGCCTGATTTTCGATTGTGCAAAATACGAGCGCTTTCATTCGATTGTGCAAAATACGAGCGCTTTCATACTTCGTGGTTATGCGATCGTATGAGCGCGCGCTTCGTCTTCAGGGTAATCGTGCCGGGACCGCGCGCCGGATGCTCAAGTGCGATTTCGCCGTTTACCTTACGTCTGACCGATGTGACTGGCGACAACCTTCCGGAGACTGGATACGCATCGATCCGATGTAGCCGATGTAAGTGACGTAACCGACGTTTTCGACGTCAGTCGATACGTATCTAATCTTCTGTCGCCGGTTACGTCGGTTACGTCGACACGTGGATCGATACGTATCTAGTCTTTAGTCGCCCATTACGTCGGTTACGTCGATCATGGCGATTACGTCGGATCGATGCGTATCTACTCTTCTGAACGTAGTCGCCGAAAACCTCGGTCACGTCGCTCACGTCGGTTACGGTTAGGTCGGATGGATACGTATCCTGTCTTCGGAAGGTTGTCGCCGGTTACGTCGGTTACGCCGGTTAGTCGACGTCGTCGTAAGGTATAAACGCAGCTGCAGTACTCTCCGCCACTCGTTTACTGCGCCCGAAGCCGCAAAGAAGCCAAGCGGATGGGAAACGGGTGACACCGCGCCAAAACCCTACCCCCGGAACCTGGCCACATAGTTGTGAGGGAGCCGAATTGCATAAGCTCCTGTAAAACGCGAAATATGGGACTCAAGTTTTCTTTGTTACCGATTTGACAATCTATTTGATTTACACCGTCTTACATAGCACAAAGTACAGGGAATAATCTAAGGAGCAGTGGCGGAGCTTTTCGTTCGTCCCAGACTTTCAACTTACAACGAAAACCCTTACTCATAGGAGAACACTATGCGTGAAGTGATTACTGACTCATTGCCAGTTCAAACAATTACAGTCGTCATCCGGCGACTTGATTAGGGCGGCAAGGGTCGCGACGCGGCTGCGGCGTGTCACGAGCGCGGCGATCAGCTGTTTCCAGCCTATTTTAGCCATTTTCTCCCTAATTTTCACTGTATTTCTTTTTTGTTAGTTTCATTGTCTTTATGAAGTACATTTCAGCGTGGAGTCTTTTTTTTGTTTCTGTAATAGAGTGTTTTTGCAATTTTTTAGGTATCCGTTTAATTGTTTGTTTAATTGTTTAATTGTTCGCAAAATTAGAGAAATCTCAATCATAATTTACCTTGTGAAGACAAGGAACAACTAACCTCAAGAAAAGCAGCCAAAAACAGTGTAAATTAGGGAGAAAATGGCTAAAATAGGCTGGAAACAGCTGATCGCCGCGGTCGTGACGCGCCGCAGCCGCGTCGCGACCCTTGCCGCCCTAATCAAGTGCCCGGATGACGACTGTAGGTCCTTGTTCAGGTACAAAGCCGGCGATGACGTAGACGGATTCACTAAGATCACTGTAGCAGCCCGATCAAAAGCAGAGGTAAGCCGTTCTCAATTTAAACCATGCGGAAAACATGTTGTTGTCTGTCATGTAGTTACATTGAGAGGGCAGGCGATGATCTTTTCATAGACTGTACCCGCGTCTGTATGGACTGTTTTTCATCCTTCCATCTCCCAACGGTAGATTCTGAGCTGAACCTTTCACGTAGGGAAGAACCCATTCCTGGCTCAGTTTAGTTCCGTTACTCCCTTTTTGGATAATGCCGCGAACTATAACCTTCAATGGGTTCAAGGTTACTGCAGACCACGTAACCCTCAATAGAAGTGTCAACACACCTCACATTTTAGACTCATAACAGTAAAGAGAGCATCTGAAGATTCCAGCGAAGCATTGGTTGATCGGTGAAAAAATTTATGAAAAAGGTTTAAGTAACAAATTTGGGACAAGTAGAGCTTTAAAAAGTTTGTTTCAGATAAAGTTGCGCGGTGAGAAAGGCAAAACATTCCGATGGTTCTGGCGAGTCAATTCTGGTGATCTCGACTTTGGGATCCAAAAAAATGGAGAAATGGTGAGTTTTCTTTTAAAAAAATAGTTCCTTTAGGAACAGAGTCAATGGTGTTGGAACACTAATCTCTTGAACTGACTTAACGGCAAACTGTAATCTCACTTGGGTGGATCCTGGTCCACAAGATGTGGAAAAGGTCCGCACTAAAGCAGCGTGCCACTTTATCCGCTCAGATGTGCATTGGAACAGGGCTGCAAAGCATTAGTACCCGCGCGCCCTCTCAATAGTTCGTCGCGCTGCCGCAACGATCCAGCCAACAGCCACAACCAACATCGAAAGGTACGTTTCTCCGCCCTCGCTACTGTTGCTCTACTTAACTATATGGGGGGACTGCAGGACTTGTATGACGCGTTTCCTTGAGGTATACGCGAGCGAGTATAGAACGGCAACCGCGTACCAACGCTTGAAGCCCCGTTCTCGTGCGATGTTCGAGAAAGGACACGCCTACTGCTAGCTGCGCGACTCATTTCACCTCACGGCGCGTATAACTCGAAATCCTTGAGAATCGGCAGGCGTTCGGCCGCATGCTCCAACTTAACCTGGAGTTGTCTATGCTTCTGGTGAGATATTTTCATCTTGGCACAAGTGTTATCGTATCTCTGTCACAGAACGAGATGACAGTTGTCCAGACTGGTATACGCCGAGTACCAATTCCGTGCACGCCTAAATCTGGGCTCAGGGATAGGAGTTATATAGTGGCAAGAAAATCGTAATTCGCCTTCCTCAATTTCTGATTTTCTTGCCCCTCTCCCACCCCACATGTGGTGGGGACCACAGTCTGAAGAAGTGAGTGAATCTTTGATATTTGTCACTATTCAGACGCAGTGATATTCTTCAACACCCGGTAAGGCCTATAGACGAAAATTCAGCGAAAATTTCTCTGACTAGCTTTTTGGAGTGGTAATAGTGGTGCCTAGAGTTCTACACATTCTACGCCTTGAGCGTGGCTGAAATTCGGTAAAGTGGACGTACTGAGAGTCTTTGCCTTGATGGTGTTCGGCATCTGTGAATCCCAGTAATTCGCCAATTGGAGCTGCGGTATAGAGTGGGGTAGTTTTTCTTCAGCACATGGGCACCATCACCAACTATTAGGTTGTTCGAAAAGTCCTGCGACACTTTGACCAATTTTTCGGACTAAATTTTCAGTCACTAAAAGACATCTCCAATCTACAAGGTAATCACCACTAAGGACTAGGACTAGTGCCCTTCTTTTGCACAGCTTCTCATTTCCATCTTATAATCTACTGCAACGATGATAACGAAAATGTTGGACTCGTTTCGTGAGTAGACGCTCGAGTTTGTCATTAATTTTTGCCTTCTTAAGGATGAGGTAGGGATCAAAAAAGTAGTAGTTAGAGACTGCTAACTTTGATGAATAAGCTGGGTATGGTCGCATTCTCAGATCAAGATCCACGATCTTTTGGTGTGGCCTGATCCTAACATGCGGTCTTCGCATTGCCGAGCGGTAGAGAAAAAATTGAGTATTTTAAGATGCAAGCGCTGACGTCATTCCTTATTCGTGAGCAGGGTACAGCATCGTGATGTGTGAGGTGATGGTGTATGTACGATCCCCCTCCTAGAAAGGGTGTCAGTACGACCCCCCCCCACCTAAATGACGGCCTCGTACGACCCCCCCCACTTCCCCGGCCACCTTACCTACCAATTCGCCACACATTTTCCAGTTTTCACCAAGAAATTCCGTCGAGCTGGGGAAGCACAACGACCCCCCTCTGGTCCACAACGAACTAATACGACCCTTCCAAGAGAAAAAGTACGCCCGCCCCCATGTGTTCGCACAACGGATGCTGTACCCTGGTTGTGAGTTGTTAGAGGGACTGTAGTCCGTTACCGTTGTGCTAGTTCCGAGATAACCGCTTTGAAAGTCCACCAAAACCTATGAACATGTATCCATGCACATCT